TTATTACTTGATGCTACCTTTCAATTGTTTTTTCCCCTTTGTTTTTATAGAATTAACTCTGTATTACATTCCTGGCAGTTACCTCAGTTTTTTCTCAACTGTTGATTTTATGACATAATAAATAATTCAAACTCTTCATGTTTCTTGGATTTATGCAGTATGTTTGAAAAGAACTGTTACCTCTATTTAAATATAGATATTACATTCACTTAATAAAGTTCCTATCAATAAATACCTCATATTGCAAAACATATGACACAATAATCTGAGAATTTGTTTTCTTTCTGATGGCCTGCCCAGTAGCCTCTTGCTTCATTGAGTGCCTCTGGGGAGCCAGGTTTGGATCTCAACATTTTAAAAAGCACATTCTGAAGATGAACAAAGAATAGTATAAAAACATGAAATTGGCTTTTCTGGAAGCACACACACCATTGTTTTAAGATGATTTTGCCAATACTAGCAGCACTGCTTAAGAATTTTCTTTGGATCTCTATGAGGCTATCCATTTTATCCTTTAATATTCGTCTAGAGAGTGACATAAGCTTGAGATTTAGATTGAAATCTTACATATGTATGCAAATGTTCATACCTTTCAGTAGTATTGCAGTATTCTTCCATGGACTGAGAAATATTCTTTGTTATCTGAATGTTGTTGTAAATATTAAATTGGTCTTGTTTCACCATGGACATAAAAAAAAATGGATTTCAAAACTTGGAATGGAATATTTTTTAAATGCATGAGACATCACTGTCTGATGACCTGATAGATGCAGGGTTTTTTTGCTACCTGCAGTTTCACCTGAAAGTGAAGTAATTATGGACAGTAATATTTACATGGTGGTCTGAGCCCCTGCAGTCGCAGAACTGAATCTTTGCCCTTTTTCACTGGTGTATATTGTAGTTTAGTGTGGCTGTTCACATTTTTACTTTTCTATGAGTTTTAGTGTCTTCCACAGAGTTTGCTGTTGTCTAAACATCATAGTACAAAAATACTTCTTACACTAGCTTTAAACTTCAGCAGGATCTGCATTCTTACATATCACCAGCTTTATCCTCTAAATTGGTAAAAAGTTAAGCAGCAGTAATTGCTGTCTATGCTACACCACTCTCCCTCAACTGTATTTCTTCCTCTTCTGAACAGTGTTTATTTTGAAAGGAGCTTACGTGGGCTGCCATTGTATTCTTCTACGTATCTGTGCTTGATGTATTGGTTTTGCCATTATGCTGCAGATTGAAATTTAGCAGCAGAGCCAGAGACGAATGTTCTACTTCTGTCTATCAGTGGAAGAAACTCTTTGTTACCTCTCTCCAACGCTGCACCAGCTCAGTGTCTTTTACTAAGATGCTAGACCTTAGGTATTCAAATACCTTTTAAAAAATGGTATCTAAGTGAATGTAAAATTTTACTTAGACTTTCTGATGTAAAGACCTGCTCATTGTGCTCCCTTCTAACAGTCAAGAGAGACATTTTTGTTCCAAATCTTTAAACTTTTATATATGAAAATCTGATGCTTGTAATTTTCTTAACAGGAATCATATCCACAAATCATTTCCTGTTGGAAAGAAAGAGAAAAATATGCTTCTAAATACAGTTTTCTCAGAGGTCATCCTCATTTCTTACAAGAAAGAAAGCATGTGTATTAGAGCAGACCTAAAATTTTTTGGCAGAGAGATTTAAACTTTTGTGGTTATGACATAAGTGTATGTTTCATAAGATGGAAAGGAACAGATGAGAACTATGCACAAATCTTGCAGAACGAACCTGCAACCGTCATCCCTTCCATTGATTTGCCTGCTTTTTCGTTCATACATATTGAGCATTTTTCCCGCTTTGAAGTAATGCAACTGTCCCTAACTCATGCCAGTAAATATTTTACATTGGACATTTCCTGTATAGATACAGCATGAGAAATTAAATTTCTTAAAGAAATGTTGATCCAACAATTTTTTCCTCTCACAGGTCATATGTTATATGCATGTGTTATTGCGAATAATAGATATATACGTCTACAACATGTATAATAGAATATTAGGATAGTTAAATAAGAATCTAAAATGAAAAATATTTATAAAATAATGTGAAAACATTAAGATTGGCATTTGCCTTTGTTTTCATTGTACAACCTAAAGGTGGTATTAACACCTGATTATGCATTTCATTTTCTAGCTTGATTAAAAACAATTGCATGTGCTTATTCATAGTTTAGGTGGTTCCAATTGGCTCTTGAAGTCTTTCACTTCAGTGAAGCAAATGGGGTGTGGCAGATTCGAGTTCCAAGCTTCATTGCTCATTTCACTTTGACCAATGGGTTTTCTGCAATCCTGGATTAACAAGGCTCTTACATATTATTTTACATAGTAGAGCTATATAATTTTAAATATTATCTTTTTAGAATTGATTGCTTGTTGATATTACACAGTGTTACCACTATTAAAACATTCTCAAGAATTGTAAAGCTTATTTTATTAGCCTTCATTCAGAATATTTGAGAAATGAATTAGTGAATGCTGTTCAGAAAGGATTTTAAGTATCATTCAGCTCTGCTAAAACTGAAGTAGATTCCAGCTTCCAAGTAATTTTTTTTTCAGTTGCTTATAACTTTTTTTTAGTGATCCCAACAGCCAAGGGGGATTGCAGAGGAGATATGATCTTGCCAAATTTCTTTTGGCTGTTTTAAATGTAATTTGGTTCAAAACATGTTTGGAATTGCATTATAAGTTTAAAAAAAAAAAAAAAAGGCGTAATATCTGCACTAATACAATTTCAGAAGTGTTGAAATTACTTTCTTACTGTGTAGCAATCACTTCCAGCAGTTGGTGAGAAAAATAACCTGAAGAGTTTCTTTCCTCTCCGCTCTTTCTCTTCACAGTCACACTGGTTGAAACCTTTTGCTAATTCAGCTGACACACCGGCATTTTCAAAGACATTGTGGGAATGTCATCCACTTGCAGAACAATGTGAACGGCTCCAGAGTCTGACCTGTTGTGTGCTCAGGGGAACGTGTCACTCTTGAAACATCTCTGCCTTAGGGAGGCAGTTTGGCAGTAGTTGTAACGGCCAGTGATGGTACAAAATTTACAGTGGCAAATGAAGAATATTATATGTGATAGAAACAGGAGGGTTATTTAGATAGGCATAATATACTGCAGTTACTGAAGTATAAATGACTGTGAAAGAAAGGCCCAGATTTTTCTCAAGCTGTGTCTGCTATATACCATACGTTGTATTTAAAGGAGACAGAATCATGGTAAACAATCACAAGCAGCTCCCTGTAGAAGATGAGGATGTGTGGGAGACAGGGAGACAAAAATTACCAGATAGTCTTTCTGACTTGGAGAACGGGAGATGTGGCAAATGAAGGAAGCTGCCCTGCACCGTTGGAATGACTTGCTGTTCTTTTGGTCATTTGGGAATACTGGCATTTGGGAGAAGCTAAAGGCAGCCCCAAGCCCTGCAGGCTAACATTGCTTTAGTCATCTTTACCCTCGCTATTCAAAGTAATTAATAATCAAGATCCAGAAGTAAACACACTTTTTTTTTTCTTCTTTTTTTTTTTTTTTTTTTTTTTTTTTTTAGAAAATACTCCTAGCCGAAATGTGGTACGTTCACAAACCCAACACTTCTGGTCTCAGCATGGATTGTGAGGTTGCTCCTGTCACAGAGAAACGTGATTGTTTCCTGGCTAGCCAAGTCCATTCTTTAACAGTTCTCACCAACTCTATCTTATAATTACACTTTAAAAACCTCACTCTCACAATTCCACTTAAAAGACTGAAAACTATCTAACTTCAGCTTGCATATATTATGGGCAATTAACAAAACCAAAGTTTGCTGGTACTTGGTGTAACCCACTCTGTGACCCTCCTTAGTGAAGGAAATCTGATGAGATCTTAGCCTGGAGTCATAATAGTAGTTTCCCTCTTCCTGGTTTCATTACTCCTTTCCCAGGGAGAGGTAATAGTCTCCCATGCGACAGGGAGAGAAGGAGATGTTCACCTTAAGGACATGCATTGAAAATAAATCTGAAACACATTTCCTTGCACATAACCCAGCTCTTTACCTTGAAATTGCCCTTTGGGTTTTGGAGTGGTTGCAGAAAGTCTGTGAGCAAGTCTTGGGCTACTAAGACTATTAGATGGCTTATACTGTTCTTGAGATTCATTTCAGTAGAAGGTGCAGGAAATATAGGTTTAATTCTTTTATTCAAACTCAGTAGATGGTTTGGGACAATTAATTTCCAATTGTTTCCCAGTAGAGCAGATTTACTTGTATATTAATGAGGCACAGGTGTTAGGCCCCTGGTGCCTGCATGCCTGGGAGGCATATTTAGGTTGTTTATCTAGTCAGCCATAGGTACTGCAAGGTACTCAAGCTTGCCTTTAACAGTTTATACAGTGAGGCTTTTTAATTTTTTGATGTTTTTTTTAAATTTGCTAGCACCTGTTAAAATTTTAAAACTGATCATGTAGAAAGAAGTAGGAGTGATTTCAATAGTAAATAGCACTAAATGTTAAAGAAAGTCATCTTCTATGATGCTTAACTGCCCAGCTTGACATTAAGAAGAAAAGAAGGTTCATTTAAGCAAATACGTCATGTGAAGAGCTAATACAGTCAACAGTATACTTTTCTGTTGCATATTTTTGGAATAGGTACTTCTTTGTCTACAGCTGAAACATGAATGTGCTTATATTAATATTCATTTTTCTTGTTTATTCACTGAACTGCAGTACCAACATTTTAGAGGAAATGGAATAGCCTCCATAGACATTATGAATTTCAGTAGCTGGCATAATTATAGCGATCTACATATTCATTAAATCCAAAGAAGAAATGTGTCCAAAAAAACAGCCATGCGTTTAGAAGTGGTACACAACTAAATATATACATTAAAAAAAAGTTCCTTTCCTCTGCTTATCCTAAATTGTGTAGTGTCATATAGTCCTTAAATCAACTGAGGCTTTTTTTGTTGTTTAAATGTTCATTCCTTTTGCTTTTGCAGTAAAGAATGGGAAGAACTATTTGTAAACAACAATTACTTGGCAACTATACGGCTGAAGGGGATTAATGGGCAGCTGAGAAGCAGCAGGTTCCGTAGTGTTTGCTGGAAGGTAAGAAGAGAAAATATTTATTTACAGTTTGTGGTTGCAATATATCAACACATTACCTGATGTGCTGGAAGATTATTGATGCAAAGAATCATGAATTTTCCAAGAGACTTCATCCCAATGTTTTCCTACTCATTTTTATAATTCATAGGACATTTGCTAACCGCATCAAGTTGCTTTAAAGCTGAATTGCAGGTGATAGGAAATGATTCCTAGGGAAGAACATCTTTGTGCTGGTGGTATGTTTAGAATTCAGTGCTACGCAACCATTTGTCCTCAGTATCTGTGCAATGAAGTCATGCGTGGAAATAGAAAGGAAGTTTGCCTAAAAAATTACTTTTTTGTCAAATTTGGGACTGCTTTAAAATCAGTCTGATGGTTTTGCTAGCAGGTTTTCCCAGTGAAATGAGAAAATTAAGACCAATCCCTCTTGGATTGGTCTGGATGGAGAGGGAAACCAGGTCTTCTAGAAACACAAGAGGTCTTAGAGGGTCTCTTACTGTATTTTTTAAAGTTACAGGGGAAGGAAGAAAGAAGGAAAGCAAACTAATACTGAAATGCTATATAAAGTCCAAACAAATTTTGTTGCACTGTCATCAGGTCTTCTGTTGTGCACTAATTATGATAGTAGAGAACATTTTCCCTGGTAGAGTTGCTGTCTGTAAACTCTGAACATTTAAATTACCTCACTTGGAGTTTCTCAAGCATCACTTTGGCACACTGACCTATAAAAAAGAAATTTAAGATACTCTTTGTATATGAATGAAAGAAAGTGGGAAATTGAAATTTGAAATGTATGTAGCATTGAACTAATTTCAAATTAATGAAAATACTTTATTCGGGAAGCCAGATGAATATATGCCACAAACATTGTTTTACCAGTTTGCTTCTTTTTGAGCCTCTAAATTAGGAGGTCATAACTCAAAACTCTGAACTAACAAAAGCATCAAGTCCTTCACTGTCAGCTAATTAAATCAAGAATTTTTTTTAGACGTAAGGCACGTTTACTTACATGGCCCAATATTGGTTAGAGCTCTGTTTTAAAAATATTATCTATATTTTTGTTAAGTTCTGAAATTTTAAGGGTTTTTTATAGTAATGTAGGAATTTTTTGTTTGCCAGTATTTACTGTCTCTTAGCACCTTACAGTGTGCAAATAAAAACATTTAAAAAGCAAGAAAATACTGGGGTTTTTCCTTGTTTCATATGCAATTATATAGTATTTTCCAATGGGTGTTTCTTTCTAACCCTTTTTAAAGAGACATGTGAAAGATCTGAGATGTATGCATGCTCAAGGATGCAAAGTTGACTCTCCTAACTGTCTTGCAGAATTCTGGAGCATGTTTCTTTTCTTAGGTAGGGTGTATCTCAGTGCTTGGTTTCTGCTCCACATTCATGTTTGGTTTTAAGCACCTTGCATTAGATCATCAGTGTTACGTAAATAGCTTCAAGTGTTCTATCTTTATTTTCACCTCTTTCCATTTTGTGTCTGCTTTGGAAGTCTCAGTCAACTTTACTGAAATTACAACAGTTTACAAAGCTGGAGTTTGTGGCTTCAGTCAAATTTAATGCATTTATTTCACACTGTAGAACTGCTATTGTTTCTAGCTACTTATTTGTGAATGGGAAAGTACTAGAATCAGTAGTATTTTATAGGTCTTTGCTTTCTCTTTCCTTATGAGATGGTTTGTGCTATCTGATAGTATTTATATGAAAAGCTATGTAAAATTGATGAAATTTAATGAATTTATTTTGTTTTGCTGATAGTTATTTCTAGAGGTTCTACCCCAAGATAGAAGTCAATGGATTAAAACTACTTCAGACTTAAGAACTTCTTACAATAAGATCAAAGAAATTGTAAGTTGGTACAAAACTCTGTTCTTCTACTTTGACATAGATATTAATACTTATAGTATAACAGAAGAAGATCTGATTTTTTTTTTTTCTGTTTTTACCTAGCACATTACCAACCCTCGGAAAGCAGGACAGCAGGATCTGATAATCAACAACCCACTCTCTCAGGACGAGGGGGTAGGTTGACCCTTGGTTCTATCAACACATGCTACTAAAATTCTCATCATCTTCATACTGACACAAGGGAGTTCTTGCAAAATGGCAGGTGCTAAAATTTCCCTCCTAAATTTCCAGACTGGCTTGTGTTAACAATTGGTTCACAGGTTCTGCTGAACAACTAGAAATGCACATTTCTATGTTGCTATTCTGATTTTTCAGGGCTTATCGCAGGGAAGACTGTGATAAACAAAAAATCAGTGTTGGACTATAAGTACAGTTTCACAGCAAATCCTTTCTTTACCTGATGTGCTTTTTATCACTGTGTGTTTTCATTTTATACATAAAATGGCTCTGTTTTGAGGAGAGTTTAAACAGTCAATGTGAAGTGAATGCTCTTAACAGCAAATAGCAAACTACCCTCCTCTGGAAGACTGTTCATCCTTGGAGGTTTTTTACTGCTTTTTGTTATACCTGAAAAGTTTTTCAAGTAGTTTTTAGCACATATCTGTAAGCTTTTCTGTTACCATCGAAATTCTTTTTTATCAATTTTTTAAAATAACTTAATACCATGAGGCTGCATTTAAGAGTCTGCATTTAGGAGATTTACACCTGAAAAGACTGTCAGATATCTTTAGTGATACTCCTGTTTTGTCCATGAATGGAAGCCCATACTTTTGTTTGTAGTGTGGTACTGTGCTGCTTATTTAATTTAGAAGGAGAAAGCTCTGCAGCTGGTGTGACTGTGCACGTCATCAAACTATTCTTGCATCCAGCTGGACAGAAAGTTGTGTCAAATGTAGAAGATTTAAAGTGTTTCTGCTGTAGTTTGTGATTATACACATTAGCACAATCTTCTTTCTGCCTGTGGTGTCTTTAGGAGATAGAAGACAAAGCTTAACATGTCAGAGTATGTGGCAGGGGTTTAATCTGTGAAACAAAGCCACAGGCCAAATCAGACACAGGAATGAAGAACAAAGTGCCTTTGAGCCTCTGCCATGACTTGATGTTATACCCATTCAGTGTATTCAACGTTTCCCTTCCTCTTCGCAAGGCAGCTTCTGTTTCCTTCATCCTTCGCTCCAAAGGACCAGGGTGGGAGCAGGGACAGGGGAGTTTCAAATGTGATCTAGCTGCATGAAAAGAGTTGTGAGTTAAAAAGATACTCACTTTATCTAAGACACTGTGATTTTGCAGTGTTTTTCCTAGTTGAAACAGAAATATAGAAGATAATTAACATTTTCCTTTCTGTTATTTTACCTTCCTCTCGTAATATTAATTTACTAATGTTAATTTACTTTCTCTTTGCTTTCTCTGAATCATAAGCCACCATGCCAAAGAATTGTTTACAGGGAAGCAAAAAATTGTGGAAGTATTGTAGACACTCCCTTTGTACAGTATTTCATTCACTGGTGCTGATGCTATCTGAAAACTAACCTAACCTGCATGAAGACCAGTATAAATTTTGCTCCTTCTGTATTTTGATCCATATGGCCAAGCTACCATCCCTTTACAGTAGAGAATACTTTTGCAATAGTCTTAGTGGACCATTCAATTAGCAGCATTTCCTGACTTCTTTCAGGTTAGCTTTTGCAACATATTTCTAAACAGAACATGGAATTGAAAGAAAGAGGATGAAAACGGTCACAGAAAGATACAGAAGAGGCTAAACCTCCTTTGCATTCCTTTATTTAATATTTTTTATACTGCAGTGGGCTTTAAACACTGTGATTTTCCCTGTCAGAACTTTTTTAGAATGCCCAAGCTTGATCTTCACTGTGTATTATAAGGATGTCGTTTTCATAGTACATATTTGATCATCATACATTCCTTATTTGATTTTGCCTCCACTAAAACAAACTAGCTTACTTCCAAATAATATCTTATTATGGATATTAACAGCAGCTTCCAATAAAGTTCATACAGTTATAGGAGAAATGGTGTTATGGACCTTTTTCTTGGAGTGAAAAACTGATTTTTTTCAGTTGAGTTGCTGGTTTACTTGGTAAGTTTGAGTTTACTCTGCCTTTTTAAATATTCTTCATAGGCCCCCATATAAGTGGCTCAAAAACCTACAGCCAGTGAGCGAATGGAAGGAGCCTAGAGCAAGGATCCAGGAACTTAAATGTTTTTATCTCTGATCTAAATTGACTTTCTCAGATATGCTATGCTGGTCACCACCATTTTTTATCACCCGTAATAATATTGATACATCTATCTACCAGGAATGTTGAGGATTAATTAGTTAATATTTGTACAGTACTTTGCTGATGTCGTTTATAAGCCTTAAGTATCAGGTTTCATACAATTATTTTTCCTTATTTCAGAGTCTTTGGAATAAATTTTTCCAGGATAAAGAGCTTCGAGCAATGATTGAGCAAGATGTGACAAGAACGTATGTAGATCTTTAAAGAAATTTCTTTATATAAATTTATATTCTACATCTTTATGTGATATATGTTATACAGTGTTTTCCTGACTTTGGTTACTGTAAATGTCAGGTTTGTTGAACATGAATGTGTGGAAACATACATTAAATGTATAAAAATACAGCTTTCATGGAGTGAAAAATGAGAAAATCTAGTTGAACATTAAATCCTGGAGATTTATTGGTATCATTGAAGAAAAGCTCTTCTAAATTAAGATATTAGGAGATGTACTACAGTGTGAAATATAAAGTAGTTTTCTGTATGAAGCAAAGAGAAGGTAAGAGAAACCGAAAGGTCTTTCAACTAAATTATAATCATAATAAAAGATTGAACAGATTACTTTCTTAATTCACAACACTTAATTCAATCAATAATAAAAAAGCAGTTTGTAATTAGTAAGGGAAATGTCACTTATCTACAGAAGTTGAGTAGTTCTATTTTTATTTATCACTTTTCTAGTGTTATTTGTCACATATGCCTTTTAAAAGTTGTCCTAATATTACTGTGATTATTTTTTCATCTTCTTGGCCCTTAGGTCATTCCTGTTTAGGAAGTTCTTTGAGTTAGAACACTCAGTTCCTGAAAATATTTCTTTTCAGAGTGGAAGCACTGAGTGATATGTAAACATAATTAAATTCAATTACTGATTTGCTACTACGTGAAATTTTACTGTATGGCAAATACTTTTCCTTATAACTTGAAAAAAAGTGGTGATAGTCATAGATTTTACAAATCCCAAGCTCACACGTTTTCATTTACAGAAACCAAGTCATGCAGAAGAAATCATTGCTGTCTGGTTTTGGAATATTTTATATGTCCGTCCCTAGGCCCATTCTTGAATGCATTTTGCCATGAGATGTATAATTAAAATCTGAGTATACTTTCTTGTGCATTCTCACAACAGATGGTATTTTTTGTTTGTTAAAGGAAACAGTTCAGGATGTTCTAAGATTAAAATATATACATATCTAAACTATAATTGGAGAATGAAAAGTTGTGTAGAGGTTATGGTAGATGTAAGACTATTATTTAAAAATACATATATACACACACACAACGTCAGAGCTCTCACTGTGGCAAATGGCAGAGCACTAGGCAGAGCAGCATTCACTAATATTAGTAATAGTGACTAAAGAAACTTCCATTTATGTATTTATACGAAATAATGTCCACTTGAAACAATAGCAATATACATCGTGCAATCAATAGTAAAATGAGTCAAGCAATGAAGAAGCAGAATTTCTCAGTGACATGAATTTATTTGATAAACTACATGCATTTATATGTACACTTGTTGTTTGCCTAATCATAAAACAAGGTGTGCATTTTACTTATACATATATATCTGTTTGTAAACTAAAAGTAGTGTAAGAAGCAGTAAGTTCTACATTCCTTGGTTATGGAATGTAAGTACCCTCACTTTTCATTTCCGTTCTTTAAATCAATTTCTGGAGTTTGAATTTGATTAATATTTTTATATTTTTTGTCATCTAGTTCAGTCCTCCATCATCCAACAGCATCAAGTAAATAATGCTGTAGAGAGTGGTTCTAACTGCACAGAGAGTAGCAAACTAGAGTCCCAGCTATCAAAGCAGTAAAAAATTTGCTCTGTAATGTTTTTGTTCAAATTCCCTAAAGTAACATTAGACAGGAAGAGTGGCTAAAATTACACTGTTAAAATTGGTATTGGTTTAAATTAGTTTAAATTTCAGGATTTTGATATCTGAAAGGAAGTGTGATAAGTGTGCATGTGTGTTCCTATGCGTTTTCAGAATCCTTATCTCACGTAACAATAAAATCTGTAAAACCCTCATACTCACAGCTGGGCTAGTCATGCTGTAGAGAATTACCCAGAGAGAAATACCCAGAGAATTCTAGAGAAATTATAGAGAAATACCCAGAGAATTCTAGTACACAAATCATCTCTTACTAAAGTAAAAGTCTAGTCTGATAAGTCACATTGTAGAGTAGTATGTTTTTCTTCAATAACTACAAAAGGCTTCTAGTTCACTGGTGCCTAAAAAACTGTAGTGTCCTAAAGTCAGGTGAGAGAAATGCAGTCTATAATGTCTACATACAAATTTTTTCCTGTTGCATAATAATAATGTCCAATATTTACAAGGAAGGGAGGGGAGGATATTGTTAAGTTAGCCCTAACTCATTAGTGATCAATGTTTCTAAATAATTGGCTGATTTAATTCCTGACTTATTTTTTTACAGTTGTTGAGAGGTTCAGAATGGTTTTTCCTTCAGCTGTCTAGAAATGTATACTTCTGATTTGGAACCAAACACCCTTTCTGTCTTAAGTGAGACGCTTCTGAAAATGAGGGTGTGAAGGAGGGTAAGGGAAGTTTACTGTAAGGCAAAAAACCCTTACTTTCAATGTAGATTGTACCAACGGACCAATACCAACCAAGTTATGACTATAATACTGCATTCTGTTATTCCACTAAGAAAGAAAGGTGTGTATGAAATGGCACCATAGTAACTCATAAGAGACTAAAGAATGCAATGATTAATTACAGTCATTGAAAAGATGTACCAAAGAACAATGCTGATTTATTTCGTGATGATTAAGAAGGGAAGTGATAAAAAAGAATTTTAAAAAAAATATTCAACAGAAATGGAAATCATCAGATTGGCAGATACAAGGATATTTAGCTCAAATCAAAATACCAGTTTACTTTTTGGCATCGCATTGCGTGCATGGGATTGTAAATGGCTAGATTTCATTACCGTCTTTCCAGTATGCTAAGAAACCAAAATGCTTAGGGGGGCATTCCCAGTAAACTAATCAAGTGGATTTCTTCTCTTTTGTACTAGTATTTTTACATATTGATCTACTTAGTTTCTGCTTCAGGAGTAACAATCACAGTTTAGGACAATGCAAGCTGTGTGAAGATGAGTTGTGGCAGAGGTGCTGATGCTCAGAACTCTCCATTTCCTAAATAAAAAAAATAATTAAAAAAAAATTCCAACATAAAAAGGTAGTGGAGAAGCCATTAGTCAGCTACATCCTTCCTAAGTATATGGAAGAGATAGGAAGAAACAGCGGTCCATTGGTTATGAACATAGGAGGCAAAATCCAGTAAGAGGTCCAACTGCTAGAAGGGTGAAAGCTTCCTTTATACATTGATTTATTCCTTAAAAAAAAAAACAAAACAAAAAAGAAAAACCAAGGTGAGCAACCGAGGGGGCAGCTATTGTTATTCTTTACCAATCTTTGCAGTTGGAAGAATATCTTCCCTTTTTTCCGGTTAGTCGCTTTCCCCCTTCCACCTGAGTAAGAAGGTTGGGGAATGCCAGGGGATTGAATCTGTTCATGAAGAAGTGTGGTCACTCTGTGGCAGTGGTTTAGAGCCTCATTTCTGTCTGCCACCAGATTTGTTTCATAGAGTATTTTTGTGCATCCTGTTATTTGTTTGCCAGCCTGAGTTTCTTCTGTGTCAAACTCTGGCTGCCTCTGGTGTGGGGGCCCCTAAATTAGCTAAAGAAATGTATTAAAAAATTGTAACTAACTCACCCTGGTCTTCACTTTCAGAAAGCAGAGACTTGAATGCGCTATTGTGTGATTGTAGCAGTTGTGGTAAAACAGTCTAGCAAATTTCCCATGTCCTTATACAGTCTTTCTCAGAAATGTAATTAACTTTAATATTCTCGTGTTCATGAAAAGCATTCTTACCTTGCTGATTTGAGGATACTGTATTTCCTAAGACAGAGCTTTAATCATAAAATGACATTCTCCATAAAAATCCATCCTGAACTGATAGTTCCCTCATGATCTCTTCTATTTACATTTACTATAATTAATACTTCAACCAGCTTATTTCTGAGTTCGTTATTATCCTTTCTGTCACAATCTCTGGTATTACTAGATCCTCACAGATATCTCTGTGTATTTTTGAGTTTTCTTTGTTAGTCTTCTTTTCCTAAACTTTATAGGGCAGGCCTGAATAACAGTCCTTCAGAAATAATCTCTTCAAACCCCTAAATTATGTCGATTGCCATCTGCTGTAATGCACTTTTGGTCTCAGCTGTGTCCTTCCTTTACAGTAATGTGATTACTACAAGTGCATACAAGTTTCCAAATGTTGGTCTACTATTAGCTCCACCAGGTGCCAGGAAAACGTTACACCTCTCATCCCAGTGCCTCTCTCAGGATTTCAGCATCGCTATGTTTAAGTTTCGGTGTCTTCTCTGCCTTGGCTCTTGGTTCAAGTCCTTCATCCAAGGATTTCAAAGTACCTTTCTGGCCTTAATTAGTTCTGGTTTTGTGCTTACTTGTCATCACCTTTGTGAGATGACCACAGTAATTATCAACACTAATAGTCTTATCTGAAGTAATATATTATCATTTTCTATGTTATTATTTCTATGTTATTCTCTGTGACAGGCTTTACAAGAGCCTTAATACAACTGGTCTAAAGTGTAGCTCTGTAGCTCAGACCTGGGAAACAGGAAAAACAAAACTGGCTTCAGGAAACCTTATCTTCAATCCGTGTGATTTATTTTTAAAACTGACAATACCAAAACCTTTATTTCAGCTGTCTAACCTGAGGCCTACCACTGTTGTATTTTTTAGTATTCTTCTGGTTTTCTTTGTCCAGAAAGACTAAGAAAAATCTTTACCTTTTCCTTTCTTTTTAGTATTTTACCTTTCTAGATTTTTTGGCTTTATTTGTTATTTCTCTGTATAGCTGCAGAGTAATGTGGTTTGAGGTGGTTGCTTATGGAACATTTTTTGCCTGGTTACTTCTCCAGTAAACAGGAAAAGACCTTTGTTTGTGCACTTGTTCTAGTTTTAAGAATGTCCTGATAACCACTTTATTTCCTACCTCCAGCAGTTGAGGAGCAGGATACACAGGTGAGAGTTGTTCCAGAGTAGTCACAAACTAGAAATATTTACATTTTCTTAGATTATATTCACGTAACAGGATTTTTACAGAAGCTTTTTTTCTTATTCTCACACAAGATCCACTTCATTCTATTCCACTTAGTATATTTACCCTGCCAGAGAATCAAATTATTTCATAATTATAAAGCTTATTTGCAATGGTTGTTAAAGACAGTGAAATACCTAATTGTATTGTATCACAACAGATACCAGTAAGAGTTATGAGAGTCTAGGATACTGGTTTTCATGTCAGTTATGAGATATTTGAATAATCATGTCATTAGATGATAATATTTTCCAAATATTTTTCAAATATTCATGAAATGTTGAACCTTTGTGTAAATCCTTCTTTTGACATACTGTCTTCCATTTTTCTGTTTCTCCCATTGTATTTCATTCTTGCAGATCTCTAGCTATCATAATATTAAAAGGGTTTAGTTATTTAAATATAACTGGTGTTACCATCATACCTGTGTGGCAGACTGATGTATATGAAAGAACATGGTTCATAATTTTGGTTGCAAAAAAATTGTAGCAATTCTTTAGAAGTATTTTACTCTAGCAGCATCCACAATTCACAGAGCGGTGGGAAAGCAGACAAGGGAGATGCTCTTAGATAAAAAACCTTTTCTAGAAGACCAGCAACTGACATTCTGTGGACTCTGTTGTTTACTTTCACTGTATTGCTTCATTTTCAGCTTTCCTGAAATGCAGTATTTCCAGCAAGAGAATGTAAGGAAAATTCTTACAGATGTTCTGTTCTGCTACGCCAGAGAAAATGAGCAGTTGCTTTATAAACAGGTAATGAAAATACTGTACAGGTGGCATTCATTGACTCAACATTTTCTATATGGTTTGACAATAATGTAGCTGTGTTGTATCTGAAGTTGTATCATAATGCTGAAGTAATCAAAGAGCTGCTTGTCAGCTGGATAGTAAGAAAAGTAAGCTCATTGAATAACATATGCTTTTTCCTCATAACACAGTAGCTCAAATTGTTTTCTTCAAGCTTGCTAAGTTTTCTAACTTCATATTTCTTTACAAACATCTTTTTCTTCAGTCTTGGTTAAGAAAGAAAAAACCAAAGGCTTTCTCTGCCTAGGTAAAGAAAGAAAGTATACAGCAGGATTAAAAATGGTACTGAATAAACAAAAAGCAGAGTGACTTCTGAAATTTAGTCAAAGTTCACTATTTTAAGTTTTATGTAATATTTTAAGTTCTTCCTCAAAGAGCTAAAGCCATGCACTGTTTTAGTGAATACATCGTCTAACCCTGTAGCATCCAAATACAATGCAGCTGACAAAATCCCTTTGACTGAAGGATAAGGCTGCTACAAACTAACACTTTCACAGTGTTACCTGAAGCAGAGTCTGCTCAAACGAATTTTGATAAAATGGTAAAGAAACCTTTAAAGTTGCACTAACTGTGCATCCACATGGGATGCAGCCTAAATTAATGTAACGTTTTTCTGATGGGTTTGAAAGAAGTATTACCTTGATGCTAAATTCCTGTAGCAAGACCGATATGCACGGTATCAACTAAAGTGTATTTGTATTTATTTCTTTACACAGTTATCTGTAGGCTGAGTAGAGACTGACAAACCAAGGGATACTCTGTGTGCATGGACAAAGGATAAACTGTACAGCAGACAGCTTTAGGTAGACAGAAAATTGTTCATGACAAAAATACAGAGATTAAGTAAATGGGAAGAATTTTATAAGACAATCTATGCTCGCAGGCATAGTCTGTGACCACTCTGAACTCAAGCCAGGGAACAGGGATGTTTCTTGGAAACAAAGGACACATGAGTTGAAGGAACAGTTATTTCTGAAGAACTGTCTTACAGACTACATCAAAAATCAAATATGTAGTTATCAAACATATGAAACATCTATCAGCTGATTCTCTTCTCGTGTTGGACACACTGTGAGCAAGGAGTAGTCTTGCAAGAGAACAGCAAAAATGAGATCTATCAGCTGTATTTTGAAGAGCACTGCTGAAGAAAGTACTTCAGCAGTACTCAGCCTCCTCTTTCTAGTGAATATAGGTCAGAGTACTGATGATGGGAAAATGGAAGCACACATTCCAGCTAATTTAGTCTATCATTTATTGAACAAGAAGTATTATTTTACTCTTTGATATGACTTAAAAGGACTTAATTACCCTCTGCACATATTTAAAATCCTCTTGATTCCTTACCAAGAAATAATACCTTTCTATATAAGGATGGAATATTTAGCCAGATCAAATTTACAAAAAAAAAAAAAAAGCCCTGCGTTTCATCACAAGCTGTTAAAGCTATTATTTTCTACTAGGTGACACCCCGTTTAACATAGACCATATTGTTAATAGTTATGGGATTTTATTGAATTAATGAGACTGTTATCATGTAGTAGAATGTCTTGCTGAGTTAATTGAAACTGCAGAGATTATATAAATGGTATTAATGAACTTTGACTGCCTGATGCCTCAGCTTTAATAAAGACTGCTTGGTGGGCTAAATGAACATAGGCAGATAAAAGAACAGGTTCAATTTTGTGAGCCTACAGGCTGTTGACAAAGAAAACTTCTTTACCTCTATTTTCAACTGGTGTGCGTCAGTAGTGTGGTAGTTCTGGGAAGGGGCTGCTACAAGATGAAGAGGAGAGGTGAAGTGCAGAAAATTAAATAATTTTGGATCATGATTTAACCTCTCTGAAGTGTGTTAAGTATATCACACAAGTCTTGTGCTGCTGTGCCAAGTCCATGAAATAGCAAGTGATTGTGGTTTTCCTCTCTTTTTGTGGAGGTGTTACTTTTATTAGGAGCTTTGCTTTTTTCTCAATTTATAAGGGTGGCTTTGTTTGTTTGTGTATTTGGTTTTTTTTTTAAATAATGCTCGTTCTGTTAATTAGCTGATAAGAAATAGTTTGTTGTGGTGACAGGGTATGTTTTTTCCATCTTTTATCAAATACCTATCTTTTAGACAGTGTTCCTGGCTTAATGTTTTTACCACTGACTCAAGCCCCACTTCCCATAATAATTTCCACTATATCAAGCCTGGCATATATTTGAGAAAACAATGGAAGTTACCATTAATTCATCAGTAACAGATCGTCTTCAAGTTGCTCTCTCCACAGTGACCTGAATACAAAGCCCAAAGTAGGGAGTTTCTCTTCATATGCAGTTTCCATCATGGGAAATTCCTCTGTCCATGAGAATTCTTCTGTCTCATTTACATGGCTACATACAAAAGCTACAACTGCCATTAGAATTATTAAACTTGGCCAGTAAATGAAGACTTATGATGACTGTCTGTCAGTATGTGTCCATACCCACTGTTACTTCCTAAATATTTGAAAAAGTTATAGTTCCTTGACAGTTTGCATACACAAAAATGTAAATAAAGTGTATTTGGAGTTTATAGCATTCTATTAAAAAAATTACGTAGCATCAGCATATAGTCTTGGAAGAAGCAATCAATAATGTTTGTTTAATATGCATATATGCATGCAAGTTGTCTTTGTAGTAGGGTTTGTGGTTTTTTTGGCCAGCGTAAAGTAGCATTTTATTTGATGAGGAAAAAGATATTTCTCTCCCTAGTCAAATGGAGCAGAATGTTGTGAAGCTGTGTTACAGATTTTAAAGACAGAATCCTCTCTGGGATCACTGAATTTTTAAATAGCAGCAGTAAATATAGAGTCTAAAGAGAATAGTGTATTGTACTTAAGAATATGTAAAAATTACTCCTGGAGTTCATCTGCAAGACTGGTGCCAAAATTTTGATCCTAGTTACGCTGAAAATAAATAGTGAAAATTAAGCTGAATCACTAGGCTAACTATTGTTTGTTCATGATTTGATTGCCCTTAGAGAAGTCAATATAATTTTGAAATGCATTGATTCACTTGTCATTGTAGAAATGCTATAATTCTGGTTTTCTTTCTAAACCATAGACTGTATTATGAAATCAATACTTTGTTGTAGCTGGAAAGTGTCATAAAATTATCTGAGCTCTGTCAACTTACTTATTAACACTAAAGAGTTTTAGTAAACTGCAGCATTGAAAAAATATGTGTATGCATATTACACTGGTAGCTTTTCTTGCCAAGCTAAAAATCTCTAAACATTTGAAGTAGTCTTGTAACTGAAAGATCAGAGGTATCTTTTTGAAATCCTGATATTTCATCATCTGTTTGTTTTGGTTTTGTTATATGTGGGCAGCCACATTATGATTCTACTGACTTGATATATTATTATGTTAGAAGAATGTGTGATGTGCTTTTATCTTTTATAACTAATTCTTATTTTATGTCCTCTTTCTTTTTCTTCAGCATATATGTTTACAGCTTAGGTGGTAGTTTTATTAGATAGTCAGGTTTTTGGCATTTCCATTTCTCCAATTTCATGTTTAGTAAATCAGGGTGAATAAAATATTAGATGTGGAACTGTTAATTAACCAAGGGCTGTACGTGTGAAAGTACAACCCTGGTTATTTACAGTTTGTTTGAATATTTTTTCCACTTACATATTATTTAACCCTGGACCTATCTCCCTGCTTCTCCTGTTCCTTTCCCCCTTGGTATGACCATAATATTTTAAGAAATCTAACCTTGTCAATTTGTAATCTAACCAACTTGTTGTGTTTTACATCAGCTTCTGAAGTCAAATAGCTATTGGATTTATTTTTTATTTTCCTAACTGAATTTCTATTTAGTCTTCATCTTTTAAAGTGGTCCCTAAAGGTTCAGAAATAGAAAGAGAAAGAAAACATCCAAACTTCAGCCCTACCATTGAGGCTATAGCGGTCGTCTCAATCCTGAAGAAATTAAAATTATACTGCATAGGATTTCAGTTGATGGCAAACAGAGAAATTGTCAAAACTCTTTTTTTTTTTCCTCAACACTGCTAGGTATTGGAATTTGCTCTTACCAACAGAAAAGATCACTAACAAGTATCCAAGCATACTCAAAACAATTAATGATCTAGAGAGGGCTTCCACATCTACTTCTTGAGTCAATTTGGACCACTTAAGGAAAATCCCCATTATTTCCAATAAAAGTTAATGGGTTTTAGTAGTTAGTGGATCTGTTTGATAGATATGAAGCTGATAATCTAACTTACTGATGATATTGAGTACTCCTCAAATACTGCATGAAATACCAGCTGATATACCAGCACAGCAGCAGGGTAGCTCATAAGCGTGTAACACTTTCATTGCTCATATCTGTCCATCACTGGAAGGGCTGGAAAAGCAAGTGCAGAGTCTTCCCGGCTTGGAACTGCAAGCATAAAAGTAGAACAGCTCCTGATAGGGGTCCCATCATGTACTCCTAACAGCAACCTGAAATGCTGATTAGCTCGATGGACCAGGCCCAGTGCTCCTTCTGCCAACAGGATAGTCTTCCTGGAACCCCTGTCTTGTCCAGAGCACCCACCAGGAGTTGGGACTGAGGCTCCACTTGCTTGGCGAAGCAGTTGCACCTTTGAACTGGAGCACTGCTGGCAGCATGCTCTTCCTCCTACAGCTGGGCAAGGACTCCAGCCAGAGCCAGTCCCAACAGGAGTAACCTGGGTGCTTGGCACCAAGCCCTGGCTGTATTTGGTGTTTTTGGGCTGAGGTCAGGAGTTCTCTTCCGTTAGAGTGATCCTTTTGTCCAGAGGCAGACAGACAGATGTCAATTCTTCATCCCATGTCCCTTCCATCACTGAAAGGCTCCCCCCCTGCTTTTGCATGGCTGAACCCTGCCCCAGACTGTAGCTTGCGTTGCTCCTACCTGCTGTTCTAGTCCACCCCTGGGATCCCAACTCCTCTGAGGTAACCAAATTCCCCAGTTGTGATGCCCTAAATCCTCCTTTTCCCTGCAGGTAACCTGAGGGAAGGGGCTGAATGTCTGCTGAAGATGAGGTTTCATTCTGCAGGCTGTAGTTGTACCTGTCAGTGGATTGCTGCTTGCCAACTGGATTGCTTGTTTCCTGAAGCGGTTGCTTCTGCTCCTGGTAACAGTTTGACAAGCCCCAGGTGAATCAAGGCAAATCAAGACTGACTCCTCTTTTGTTCCTGTTGAGCTCTGGGTAAAAGTAGCTGCTAATGCTGACCCAAGTCCTTAACTGTCCACCCATTTTTTATGTTCTGATTCCTGCATGTTTCTGTATTTTTCCTGTAGCTTAATACAGATTGCATATATAAGTATACTCTGCAGTGGAACAGTACCGGGGCTCCTATGTATTGTTTAATCATTGCTTATTGACTTTATTTTGAATGTTGACATAACAACAAAAACCCAGAAACTTACTTTAATTCTCATGTCCTTAGAAATGGGAGTTTCATTTTCTTTCCTAAATAGCTGCCCTTGTCTCCTTTGAAGCATCCTGTTATACTTTTATCTATGGTTTTGGAACATTATAAAATAAAAAATAATTTTAAATTTTGTAATTTGTCCCTATTGCAGATCTTTGTGCTGTAGATCATGATTATAATTATCATAAATAAAATTCATATTTATGAACATAGATCTTGAAGTAAACTACCAGGTGCAGGGTTGCCTACCATTGCGGATTTGTTGTGTGTTGTGCTGGAAAAAGGGAGAATAACTTGCTTCTGTATATTATAGAAGAATAAACACTTGGATTTAATCAGAGTTTAAGATAAAAGCCATTGATTATGAAACCATTCTGTTAAGAATGTAAATGTTCGTTCTTTTAGTTAGTCTTCACCTAATATTGCTGTGTGCCTGATGCTATGCATTAAGAACTATTATATGACTGAAAAATCTAATGATACTTTTGCTTCATTTTATGTTTAGGGTATGCATGAACTTTTAGCTCCCATTGTCTTTATCCTACATTGTGACCACCAGGCTTTTTCACATGCCAGTGAAGCTGCACAACCAAGGCAAGCATTATGTTTTATTTGTACAGTATTAAAAGCCCACTTTCTTAAAAAATAAGTTAGTTGGCTGCAATATAACTTATAAATATGCATTCCATAATTCTTTGTTTATAATTCATAAATTGATATCAGAAATCATTGCATCCTCATTCTTAGATGGGAATGTCCTTATTTCATCTTCCCTACTACAGCATCTGAAATTTAGACATTGTCCCTTTCACAGATATTAATTGGCGAAAAAATGGGGAGACAAGAAACCCAGGAAGAACCTTAATCAAAAAGCTTACCTGCAGTTTCACCTCGTTCTTATTGCCAGAAGTAGTTTCGTTTTTGTCATTGCAGTGAGGAGAATGTAGGGAACTACACTCATAGAGCAGACATTCCCACCACCTCTTGCTCCTCGTATCTTAAAAGGGAAGTTAATCAGTGTCGACAGATTATTGTGATTGATACTACTTTCATCACCTGCAGTGCTGTAGCTGCAGTGTCTGACTGTTCTTTGACTTAGTAGTAACATTAAGTTTAGGTGTTGATTTTCCATTTCATTCAAATATGTGTATGTAAATATAAATGCGATCATACACATATGTATGAAATATTACATTACATGTGATTGTTAACCAAATTCGGATGCTTTTCTCTTGCCCTATATGCAAGCCTTTTGTTTTTATTAAGAAACAAACAAATAACACACACAAAAAAGGTTTTCTTCCTGTGATATTTTGGAAATTTCATTTGGGTTTTTTGCATTCCCTTTTGGAGTCCAGCAGGGAATAAAAAATCAATGTAATTATGTACTGTATAATATAACCTCTGCTAGTACCCCTCAACATGACTGCCCAAAGGCGGTTAAGCGTAAAGATTATTTACAAGTGTATGTTTTTATTCAATGTCTGTCCTTAGATATCCTGAAATTACCTAGAAGATGCTCTTCAGTGCTAAATAACTTAAAATAACCATGTGTTATGCATAGCATTCTGTTCTATCCCCATTGAAAAAGTAGAGCTAAGCAGCAAAGTAGATGGAAAAGAGGTGCTGTCACTGATTAATTGCTGTTAAAGTACAATAAAAATACAGGCTATTAAAACAAAATAAATTAATGTTTTGATACTGCATATTTGACCAGTAACCATATTTTTTTTTTGTTTGGGACAAACAGTGATAGATTGTGCAGCAATCAATTATTCTAGATCAAGCATATTCAAATAATACATTGTGACATTCAGTAATTTGTTATTTGGAATAATTAGATGGTTACTTCATTGTAGTACAGACAAGGCAGCTAATTTGTTTTTGATCTTTATAAAAAGGAAAGACTTCATTTGTTCAATGGAGTTGCTCTTTTTAATTAAAAAGGCTAGTTTTCTCATTTGCACTTTATATGAAAGTTGGCTTATAAATACGTAATGGTATATGCAGAACGCTGACCAAAAATAAACATTCACATTTGGATTGTTGTCTGTTGCCTTTTTCAGTGAGGAAATGAAAGTTCTTTTGAATCCTGAATATCTGGAACATGATGCCTAGTAAGTTTTAACAACTTTCTTTACATTTAATTTGCTCTTGTTTGTAACACGTTATTTTACACCGAGTTTCTTGGTTGTTCCCTTTCAGTGCAATGTTCACACGTCTTATGAAAACTGCAGAACATTGGTTTTCAACTTTTGAACATGACAGTCAGAAGGTAAATATTGTTTTAAAATGTACTTACTGTATTTTTAAGCAAGTATGATTTTTAGTATGAATGAAGTTATTCAAAGCTAATGAGATGTCTGTTAAATGATCTGGTTTTAAAGCAGGCTCAAACAAGTTTACAAAGGTTCTTCAGAATTTGGTCATAAGCTCTTGAGGAAAGTCTTCCAGGTGAGAGTTCCCATCTGCTGAAAGATCACTTGGTAACCAAAAACCAAATGTGCAAACACAGATTTTTCTATGTATAAGTGATGTTTGTAGCATTGGAAGGAGTGCCTGTCATAGGCACTTCTGTGTGCCCAAAACCTGTGCAAATGTCATCTTAAATAAATGCCTGTAGGCAGTGTTTAACATATTGAGGCTTGATTTTTTTTTCAGCTGTTTACAATGTAAACAATTTGCTGTGAAAGCAAAACTTTAACCATAGACTGTCCATCAAAGATCAGGGTGCGTCTTTCCCTGACATCATCACTCCACTTCCTTACTTTTTTTCTTCTTAGACTATTCAAACAGAGGGAAAGCCTGTGCCTTCAGATCTCTTGTGTATTGGTACAGACACCACAGTATTTAGTATGTTTCTCCTTTTCATAAGAAACCTTTTGGTGTGTTCTGAGTTTAGTTCTACTGAACTCCCCATTGTGGGGACTTTTAAGAAACCATCTAGTCCTTGCCTGAAACTGTTTTTTCATGTATGGCATGAGGGACAATTCCCTCAGTCAATTAATCGAGATTTTCTTTGAATACTTTTTTTACTGTCTCTTTCCCTCTGTACATTTCTCTCTTTTTTTAATTCTGAAAAATTATTTGTGTGATGGAGCATATTTAGAAGGCTCTAGCAAAACACAGCAGTATTACATATATTGCCAAGACTTTCAGTGTATTATATCCTAAAAGAGTTGGCCTCCAAAATTAGTTTCATTAGATTCATTTTCGGCATTTTTTACATAGACCATGGGGAGGGTATCTAGAGTTAACAAGAAACTAATAGGAACTTAGTTGGGTTTGGGTGTCTGTATATGTCCACCAAAACCTATATTTGCAAGCTGTAATGAGGGAGTACTGGTATGAATGGTGGTTTTACCAGTCTATTGAGGAAAAAGATGTTCACCCAAGACTTACATAAAGCATCTATTTTCTTTAAATATGTAAATATATCTGTGTGTATATCTTAGTAGCTGTGGAGCATTGTCATCTTGGCCAAAGCTATCTACACTTATAAATTACTATTTGCATTTTCATATAATTCTCAATAGCTAGGGATAAAGCATATGAGATACAAATTTTATGAACTTACTACATAGTCACTTTTATTTCAACAGTGAAGCTGTGAGACGTTTCTCTGAGCACAGCTTTTCAAAATTCAGTGTATTCAAATGTATTTGTTACAATTTCTGTGACAGAGGTGGTAGAGTCTGAGGCTGAATTTTATTCCAGGCAATAACTAGGTCTGCTTACAGATTTGCAGTACTTGGGTAGAAGGTGAAAGTTTACATTGCCCTTTGCAGTCCTTTCATGGCATAAAAAATTAACAGTGCAAAGATAATGGATTAAAATCTAGTTGTTTGTTCTTGTTCTTTGCAAACATGTATAATCTTTAATAATGCTTTCTTGTACATATGCCTTTTACAATCATGACTTTGAGGGTTAGCTACATAATAAAGTCTGAATTTTCACAAAGGAAGCAATGAAAGCATGTGCTCTGAGAGACATGTTACATTTTATAGCCTCTAACAGTTGGTTCCATTACACCCAAATGCCATTAGAGGAGCTTCTCCAGCTACTCTATTCCCTAGTGGTTAATGAGAGAAATCTGTCCGTGGTTTATACTTGTTCCGTGTCCTAGCCTCTCTTTACTGCTGTAGCATTTGTTTCCTAAATGCGTGAATATATAAATTGTATTAGTATTGACTACCAGCCATTCCAGTTCGTGTTGTGGTAGGTAATGTTTTAGGGTAGGATTTCGTGACTTTGTTCTTAATACTTACCTATTCTTTTCAGCCTCATTTCACTGGTATTCATATTTAAACTGTTTTTAGAGGTGAATCTGGTACTCTCCTGTAAACGATATAACACATTCTGAGCCATCCCTCTTTTTATCTTTTTGTTGTGAACCACATCCTTTTGGGATTGATCATTTATATTTCGTGTTAACAATAGGCGGCTAAACACATGCACTCTAATTTTTTCCAAGACTTAGAAGCTCACAAAAAGAAAAAGGGTGTTTCCTCTCATGTGGCAAATTAATATATAGTGAGTATGGGCAGGGTATCACGTCCACTTGGCTTTTGTGCTTCAGGCACAGGCATCGTGAGTCATTTCTAGTTAAACATTTTGGCGGCTTGGCTGTATTGGTTTATTTGAGCATCTTTCTGTTTGGGCTGTTTGCTTCACACCAGCTATGTGATTTTTTGGAGCAGTTTCAACTGACTAGAGGTATTGTCATTTTCTCCACCAAATTGCATGAGAGGAGACAACAGACATGACATCGTTGCACTCTCGTCATCCACAGAGCTCTTGGTAGAATGCACCGAATCAGGAGGCATGGACAGGCAGGGCTTTGTTATTGGTTGCAGCTGCTGTCCTCACAGATTCTGTCATGCTTTGAAGATTTCTGTTAATGGGGTTAATTTCTGAGATGCTGATAAACTGCATTTTGATGGATACCATTTACTTATCTCGTATTTTTAAAAATGGCAAGCCAGCATATACTATTGGATGCACTTAGCTATGTTTGATAGTCAGTCAGTCTGACAGTCAGCAATGTGTCAGTGCTGCATTATGCCAAGGTGCACAAATGCTGCAAGTGACAAATAACTCTGGTTTTGGCACAGAGGAAGCTTGCATTAGTTTTGATATTCAGAATCTTTCAGCACTTGAGCCAGTGTTTAAGAGTCTGTCTTGTATTTTTATGAAGATGGCTTTAAACCCACAGGCAACTAATGATGTAAAGACTAATCTGAGTAACTAGCTAGTCTTCTCATATTAGAACTTCAAATAAGTAGAGAGATTCTGATGTTGAGATTTGCATACAAGGTTCTGTATAATCAAGAAAAGCTTAAAATCACAGATCTTTTGAGTCATCAGAGTTACAAATGCATGTAGTGGCCAAGGTGAAGCTAAAGTCTAGCTCAGATAAACCAGAATAAAGTTCATACCCCAGATGAGTGCCACTGATAGAATATACAGTGTACAAATCAGTACAGTTACAGACTTCTGTGATTAGTTTCAAAGATAAATTTATATGTTTATGCAAAAAATTACTATAGACTGGCATTTAACGTTAAGGTAATGTTATCATATCATACTGTAAGAGTGGGTTTCTGAATAGAAGGAGATTAGTAGATACCCATTTTCAGTATTTTGCATTCTAGCATATGACTACGAAAATAACAAAATTAATCTGAAACAATAGGAAATAGCCATACAATGGAGAAATAAAAATCAAGGTAGAAAGAAGGCTACCAGCTTGGTAATAAAGAGGTTAATAGAATAATTTTAAAAATACAGTAGGAGAAATATCCTTTCTTAACATACCTGCAACTATGAAGAACTTCAGTATTTAACTAAGTAGCAACATTGCTTATTAGCCTCTGAGATCCTAAATGTTTTATTTTAAATTCTGATTTGTTAGAACAGCAAAGATTTTAAATGAATGTGTGCCATTTCATTGAGCTTTATTTGACAGTGTGAGGGAGTTTTCGTCAAGTGATTTGCTAGATCATCTTAAATGAATATGTCTTGGTATCACAATAGCATGGCAAAACCACCACACTATAATAGACAGATCAGTCCCTTTGCTGCAATTGCCATAGCAATGCAACAATTAAGCAGATTTTAAGATACAATTTATAATCAATCAGATCCTTAAATAGAAACGTTTTACCTGAAATCACTGCTCAGCATCATACCATATTTTCTGCAGTACAGAAATGGAATAATTAACAAAAAATATTTTAAGCAAAGGAGAGCAACATAAATAGTGGGCTTTTTGGTAGAAATTATTAAATGTTCACTTCCCACTTGACTCTTTTAAACCATGTTGTAAATGATTTTGAAGTATGGGTGGGTTCCTTCCTGTTTCCTAACATGCTGATATGGAGAGAATGGGGTTGAAAAGGGACTCTAACCACAGGAAACAACCTTGAGGATAGTTTATATGGCAAAAACAAACTTTTTTTTTGTTATTAAATGTTAAAAATAATGCTATTTTCACTGTATCAAACCAAGTGAAGTAATCTTTCAACAGTTTAAACTGTAATGAATTCTCTAAAATTATTAACCCTTTGAGCTTGATAATGCTTCTGTGTCAATATACTGAGCAGAAAGGTAGAAAACCAAAACTGTTTTTTAAAGTGAAGGTTTTGGATCAGAAATCACGATGACAAAATGCAACAAAGTTGTTGCAAAAATCTTCTCTTCTTACTGTTCCCATTTTCACTCTTTTATAACTTTAACATTGTTTCTGACAGCTTAATTCTCTATTTCCTTGTCCCCCTATTTTTCTCTTGATAGGTTTGACTTGTTTTGTTTTATTTCTCATCCTTCTTTTTACATGTTTCCTATTCAAGTTCATTCATTACTTGCTGCATTTCTTTCTAAGCGTTCTGTCTCGTTTTCAATAATTTTTCACTCCTTTGCAAGAAGGACAAATTTAAAGCACTATAAATATTCAGGGATGCTAATACTCCACTAGTTTTCACTTGGTGTTTGTCATACTGTAGATCGTGACATAGTTTGCACAACTCGTAGGTCCAACCAACTGCCTTATAACCATCAAGTTCATCTCATTGTTCAGTTTCTTTCTTCTTTTAAAAATTTTCTAATGCTCTATCAAAGCTGTGTAGATTTTGAGGTACAGCCACCAGATATTCTGAGCAAGGGAAGCCTGTTTAGAAAGGATTGTTTGAAAAGAAGTTATTTCCTATTTGGTATGCAATTTATTGTCCTCTGAGGGCATATATTCTCTACTGAGTTACTGTTCATCTGCTTTGTTCTGGACTTACTCAGTCTGCTGATATTAAAGCTAAAATAAAGCTGTCAACACTTTGTCGGAGCATGAAAAGTAAAGCATGCACATAAAAATTGATGTGCAGAAATGAGGGGCAATCCTTGGCATTCCTGGGAAGGGGAATCCCACAATACCTTCCACAGAAGTGAATACTTGAGATTCCTCTTTGGTTTTAAAAGAAATGAGTTATTACTCTGTTTATTTGGAAACCACTGATTGCAACAAACGAAATCTCTTGTACACAATCCCTTTAGACAATAAATCTTCATGGGATGTTCTTTTTTTCCCACTCTTTTCTGTGTCTGCAGGAGAAAGATGTGATGATTACACCTATGCCATTTGCAAGGCCACAGGACTTAGGCCCATCTATTGCTATTGTAGCAAAGGTAAACCAAATTCAGGATCATCTGCTGAAGAAACATGATATTGAGCTGTACATGCATCTGAACCGACTGGAAATTGCGCCACAGATTTATGGCCTGTAAGTGTTGGCAAAGCCTTATTTAATTTAATTCCTCCTTTTCTTTTTGTTTCATTATATTAGGACATTTTTCCCCTTAAATTTTGGATTAGAGGAATGGGACTAAAAAGAATTACCTCTTAGAACTTATTTGATTTGCGGCATTACAGTAAATGACACCCCAGTGTTGCATTTGTGACAGTGGCATTCCCAGAGCAGCCAAGGTCCATTCAGCTACATATTTGAGACCCTGATGAAGACTCCCATTGCAGTCTGTATCTACATACTGAGTCAAGTACGTAGTCTACCTGCAGTTTTCCTATGAGAACAGAGGGGATAATAGGACACAAAAAAATTATTAGCATTGAGCGGTTTATTTACTTAAGTTTATCACCAGTTCAATATCAGTGAACTTTTCCCTATTGTGATAATGGGGGTTTGGATACTAATAATAGGGGGAGGAGTGGGGAGAGCAGTGAAAAGTTAAGGCACAGATATAATAAATTATCTTTGTACCAAGGAATCCCCAGTAGTTCTTTGTCCATTAAGCTGCTTCATATCTAGTCTGCTGGTTCTCCCATTCCACGGGGTCTTATTGGGCCTGGTGTGACTTTGCATGTGGCCTTATCCATGTGTTTATGCTGCACTGAATCCAAACCACTTATGGCTGCTATAGTCAGTCTGGGTCAATGCAGTGTGCAACTTGGACAAACCATGAGTAACTATGAACTGACTGTGGTTTTGAAGAAACATTTTGCCTTCATTGTTTGGAATTTTAAGACATTTGATTCAGTTTGATCATTCCTTAAGGAGATAGCAAGCCATATGTGCAGTTGCAGTGACAGAAAAATGACACTTTTTTAATTATTTTTTGCAGTGATTTAAAGTAAGATTGGCTTTGCCTTAAGTGAAAAGAAATCATTTATAGGTGTGAATTTCTAAATGTAATTGTGGATTAAATATAACATCTCAATAGAGAATGTGGAAGAAGAAGGAAAAGATGACTGTGTAAATGTCAGGCCATAACTGCAATACTTAACACTGAAGTCTAATTTGATGTTACCATAAAATAAAAAAATGCTGCAACATAGTATACTCTCAAGAAAAGAGTTGAACTAAGACCAAGTGGCAGTCCCAGATTTATTAATAACTTATATTAGGAAGATAAATGTAATTCTACACAACTTACTTAAATACATTTTATAGGTATGGGTTACAGGTAGAGGAAAAATAAACAAATAAACTCAAGGTATTAAAAGTATGTAGAGGACAGGCTGTCCTATTACAATATTTTTTGCGTAGTGTAGTGTTGTGTATTTTCTTAATATCTTCACTAATCTGGAAGAGAAAGCAAGCATCCTTAATGATCTTCAGGGTAGTAATGAATAAGTATACAGTGTAAATATCAAGGAAAACAAAAAGACTGTGTTTCTTTTTTATGAAGGCTCATGAAAACAAACAGAAAATAAAATAAGATAAATCTCAGAAATTTGCAAACAGATATTTTGGGGCAAAAATAATTTGTAGTGTAGGTATTCACTTTAGTTTAAGATTGTGCCTTTCATTTAGAGAAAGAGTTGAAAGAAAAAATTATACTTTAGCTCAAAACATAACATTATAATAACAGAAGAACGATGCAGTCTGGTGTGGCATAAATAGAACTGAATCTGAATACAGACATTTACAGTTAAGAGAATGAATTATGAGAGAAAGCTTTAGGCTGACTATCAGGAAAACCTGACTTACAGGGAGCTGTTAGACTGTAAAATAATTTATCAAAATTAACAAAGGAAAAACCATCAGAATAGTTTAAAGACAGTCTTTGAAAAGCTCTCAGAAATGGGTAGTATCGTAGAGATGGAGTCTGCACTGGCAGAAGAAGAAAGTAGGTTGCCTGTGAGGTCATATCCTTCTCTGATTTCTGATTTAGTATAGAGGACAGGAGAAAAAGAAAGGGAAAGGAACATGACTTGTTGTATTATTCTCACTTTTAATGATGTCTGAATGCTTCAGAGTAGTAATTTCCAGTAGTGAGCCAGCTGACAGTCTCAGATGCTGGATCTTTTCCCGTATTTAGCATTTCTTGAACTAGAAACAGCATTTCTTAAACAAGATAGGTTATTAATAATTGCTAAACCTAACCCAAGTGCAGAATTTATGTGAGTTTTTTGTTGAAGTTTATTGTTTTGCTGAAGTTTGTTGGATTTGCCAATAATAAATATTCATCTGTCAGCCTTGATATCACTCAAAAAATATACAAATGGTAGAAGGAAGACTGGGATCTCTCCTCAAAAGATATTATGACATTCCTGGAGAAGAGGATCAACATGAAAGGCTTGTGTTTAATGGCAGTCTCCTCTAAACTGAGCAAGTTATCCAGTTTACTTATTTTAAAATGTAGTATTTTATACTTTGCATCCTTCTATAACCTTCTGGGGCAAGATAGAAACAATTCTTTGTATTTTCATACAGCCGATTCCATCCTTTGATGTTTACAAATACTTCTTTCTATTTTTCAAACACTAGCGAAACTTGTTCTGCTGGGAGGTCAGGTACCCTACTGGGTTGTACATTTCCATGTTCAGAAACTGTCCTCTAAAATAAAATGTGGTTATACTCTTCCTGAGGTTATGCAGTAAGTGTGGTACGACTCGTTAGTTGTCATTGCTGCCCAGTAGTGCAAAGGTTGTATGATGGTTTTGTGGAAAAGTGTACTCGGTGTGTGCATCATATCCATGTGAAAAATCTTTGGTTTTTCTTCCTCAGTTAGTCCTCTGCAACCTGCAGCGTCATTAGCCTCAGTCAGGTGTGCCAGGCTGCACGCTGGGAGGTGCTGCCAGTTGAGAAGTCTTTTCTCTGGGTAGTTTATGTTTTGAAGTTTTAGCTCAAGGCAGTAGATTGCCTTATCTTCCAGAGAGCATCAGTGAACAGAGTTCACGTTAGCAGCCTATCTCATTTCATTGCTGATCAGGAAGAGAACCCTGTTAGGTATAGCAAGCTATCCTGGGGTCCTGGCTATGCTGTATTTCTGTGCTCTGGTTGTTCAACTTGGTATCGTAGACAGTAGCAGCCTTACCACAGGAATTTCTGTAGCTGGAAATTTTGTGAGACCGTACTTTCATTCACTTGCAGTCAGCTGCTGCTTATCCCTGTGATAATTATTCAGCTGCTATTAATACCAGCCGAAATGGAACTAGCAATACAGAGATAAAGGCTTTGTGCCTTATCGTTTCTTCCCTCTTCTTTCTTTGCCATGTCTCTAGCTTGTTGTTGGACCCCAAGATAATGTTTTGGAGAATAACATTGTTTCGTGTTCCTGGTAGCACTGTGAATAGCGTACAGTCTAACCAAACTGTAATAATTATCTAATCATATCCAATTTTGTACTTTGTGAAGTAAAGTACAAGAATGGCTTGAAAATAAAATGGAATTGATTACATTAACAGTTCAGTGACATGCTTCCTGGTAATAAACTTTTATCTAAATAAAAATAAAAAAATTCTAAGATTGAACAAAAAAGATTGGATACTCTGAAGGGTTGACAGATTGAATATTCAGTTTAATTGTAAAATTAGATGAGTTAACAATGATTAATGTCCTAGATTAAATGGTACTCTGATGTTAATTTCTTTGACCCTTACATCTAATTCATGTTGAAGTACAAAATAATTATTGCAAAACCATTCTGCATTTTCTGCAGTGGACAGTCTTTGCAGTGACAAATTAAGCAGGTTGTGCTCTCAGCTTGAAAAGACAGGGTTTAAGGAAAATCTTCATATACCTGTATTTTAGGACATTTTCTTCCATTTAAAGTAATTTCTAATAGGGGACTTCTTTTACATTTCACTGAAAAGGTGAATCAATTGGAAAAGTCCCATATAATATCATTATTACTACTTTATTTTATGTACTGAGGGTGAATTATATTGCATCAAATGAATTTCTCATAGAACTGTGTGCGATAAGTACAGCCAGATGATGTAAATATATATTATACAGTTGTATAGAAATAATACACAGAAAGATAATGACAAGGCATAAGCATAAAAAGCTTTATTTAAGAACAAAAATTAACTGTTGGCATAAAGTCACTAGCTTGTGCATCATAACAGTGATGACAGTATTATATTGGTAAAGCAAACTCTTTCTAAGCACATATCCAACAGACAATAAAGCACATGCAGAAGTGAGCGTAAATATTTCATGGTAGCTTAATCTCAGTGCAAAAATGGCCTTCTTAGAACATTCAGCTCCGATGACTTTGCCTCCTGCTGCCACTCTGCTTTATGATGATCAATCAGACAGACACACTGCCTACTGCGGTTCGAGATGCAGTTTCAGCCCTTTAGGCTGGTACCACCATTATACTTCAAGAAGAAGCCTATCTCGTGAAGCAAAGAAATAAAAAACAAAAGAGAAGGATACAAACTTAAGTTGCAGGGGAAACCAGACATGAGTGTAGATTTGAAGATAGCATTGGAAAGGTTATGTTACGGTAAAGTCAACAGCAGATGTGCTGCTCCATTATTACTATTCTTAGTTGCTTTGCTATGAGCACTGCTGTGGGGCATCCACCTGTTTTAGTTTCTTGCCCATGCCATTGTGGTACCAGGCAGTATTCTTTTCTATAATCAAATTGGTCTCTGGAGGAAGAATTTAAAGGATTTTACCTGTGTAGTAAAGGAACATAAATCATCGTCATTGTACTGGGAAAAAAAAAAATCCCACTACTCACAAGCATAAGAACTCTTCATGATCTACAGAAAAGGTAGATCAAAGATCAGTCTTGCTAAGGAGAACTTTACAGATCATTTAGGATGCCTGAGTTTATTTTGGATTCTCACACTTCAACGAAAAGAAATGAGATAATATATGGCATGGTCCAAACCCATTACATTTCCTCTGTAGCTTTTAATCCAGTGTCATCAATCAATTGGACAGCAATTATAATGAAAGCAACTTTGAGCTATTGTGCCTGTAAGTAGGGGAACCACCAAAATCTGGCCTTGCTATTAAAATAA